CAGAAAGAAACGATGCTAAATGCAAACAACAATGTTAAATGAACTTCATAGCAAAAATGCAAAATAAACAGGCTTAACTTCTATAAGCGCTTCCGTTTACATCTTTATTTGGCATAAAACCTGATATGTGGATTACCAATGTTTGATTTTAATGTTATTTAACATTTGTTACCATATGCTGCGTGAAGCAAAACCAGATGAGAATTACTGCTGCATATTGTGGGAGGCTTTCTGAGCAGCAGGCTCGCAATGGGAATTGTGGGATTGACAGCAGAGCAAGTGGAACGAGAGACGCTCAATTTACTGCAACTGAGAGATGAAAAAGTTAACTGTATGCAACTGTATTTGTGCATTGAAATAATACAACTGTTGACTGAATATTGTTAGCAATCGTAGACCACACTAAAGACAACCATACATCTTTTCAGTAGCCAGTTTTCACAGCTAAAGATTTCCAAAAAAAAGATAATAATAATAATAATAATACCAGGAATAGGAATAGGAATAGTTCACCCAAAAACATTTACTCACCCTCTGCAGGCCATCTAAGATGTAGACGAGTTTGTTTCTTCATCAGGACAGATTTGGAGAAACGTAGCATTACATAACTTGCTCACCAATGGATCCTCTGCAGTGAATGGGTGCCGTCAGAATGAGAGTCCAAACAACTGATAAAAACATCACAATAATCCACACCACTCCAGTCAATTAACATCTTGTGAAGCGAAATGATGCATTTTTCTAATAAACAAATCCATAATAAAGATGGTTTTAACTTTAAACCAGTCCTCCATTCAATATTGCTTTCATCAGTGAAAAAGTCATCTTGTCTGAATAAGGAGAGAAATATGCACAGATCAAACACCTTTTACAAGCAAAACAGTCCAAAATGGTTCTAAACAAATATGTGGGTTGATTTTGATGTTAGAGGACAACAGGGGATGGACTTTTTCACTTGAGGAAGTGTTATTATGGATTATGGACTCTTTTTAATTTTGAATGGTTTCATGTTAAAAAACCTTAATGATGAATTTCTTTTTTATAAACACACAGCTTTTCACTTCACAAGATGTTAACTGGTGGACTGGAGTGGTGTGGATTACTTGTGGATTATTGTGATGTTTTTATCAGCTGTTTGGACTCTCATTCTGACGGCACCCATTCACTGCAGAGGATCCACTGGTGAGCAAGTGATGCAATGCTAAATTTCTCCAAACTGTTCTGATGAAGAAACAAACTCATTTACATCTTGGATGGCCTGAGAGTAAGTATATTTCCAGCAAATTTCCATTTCTGGATGAGATATTCCTTTAATTAGTCAATGGTTCTTGCACATTTTAAATGTATGTCAAGTGGTATGGTCTAGTTGCAAGTCAACATACTGACATGTTGAGCGCTAGTGCTTTCCATCATGTCCTGTCCTCTCTCTACAGTCCCTATAAACCGTTTTATTTCTGTTAAACATCGAAACACCACATAACACTAGTCGTTTCAGAAGGGTAGCCACAGAAATATTAAACTGAGCGAGACTAAATTGCACCAACAGCTGGTGCTTCACTGTCTGTTTATAGAAATTCCTAAAATATGAGTATTACTTTAGTCAATGATCCATTTATACTTGAAAGTGGTGACACGGGTTAAGTAAGAGGGACAGCACAGAACCAGATGATATATTGTCCTGAATAGACCAAGTGACCTGCGTGTCAATATCAATTTCACCCCGTGCGTTCTCATGAACTTGTCATTTGAAGAGCAATTTCTCTGCTGGAAGAGTCATATGAGGAAAAGCATGCCATAAAACATCAGTGAAAAAGCAAAAACATCATATCCAGCTGACTACATAAATTATGAGTAATTTTATGAGCTAACTTTACTCTGCTTTTAAACCAAATCCATTTATCTGTGCAGAAAGTTGCACTCTCAACTCCAGAGACACCAATTCTACTACATCAAGCTAAACACACCAGCGATCATTAATCCCGCTGATCCAAACATTTGCTCAGCGCTTGGCCCTTCCTCTGCCTGCTGTGAAAGAGTTTAGTGATACTAATTCCCATGCTGCTAATTAATCCTCATGTAATTTTGGAAGTGAGAGCAAAAATGTAAATGAGATGAGATGAATATGAGTCTGCCGTGAATCATTTGGCGAGAAAAATGAACTAAGCCTCAATCTACCCCAAACTCGCAGCTTGGAAAATTCATTATGAACATTATTTTTCGAAGTCTAGAGAAGAGTAAAAAATGCCGGCCTGCCACAAACAGCTAATGTGCACTTGCTAATACAAAATAATTGTATATATTTACGTATACATTTATAAAATTATAAATATATAAAAAAAATTAAATATATAAAAGCATAAACACTTGCTAAATCAAAATTATTAAATATAGCTGCATTTTGCAGTACTGTTTGCAAGTGTAAATAGATAGATGTGTAGTAAGACAGACAGACAGACAGACAGATAGATAGACGAGAGGGGCGGGGCCGAGAGCCGTGGAAACGGAGCGAGGCCGGTGGAGTAAATGCTAATGCGTGACACCTGCGCCACTCACCGGTCTCGAGTCCCACAGTTCCCACCTCCTTCTTCCCGATCTATAAAAAACGTTGTTACATTGGTGCCGAAACCCGGGAGGAAGGAGGGACACGCTGCCAGAGATCCCTCGCCGCTGTGGGGAGTCCGCAGTGCCATCGAGCATGGCGGAGCAGTCTGCCGCCGTGGACGCTCGAGGCGGTGAGCTGGAGTGAGTTGCCAGGGGGGCGGACGAACTCACTGTACTCAGAGCCTGCTGCCATCCGCCATGATGGGGAGGAGCAGGAAACGGGGGGACTCGCTGCCGGCTGCCCCCAATAGGAGGAGTTTTGTTCAAATGTTCGCCGGTTCACGCCTCCTTCTTCCCAATCTACAAACGTTGTTACAGATAGATAGATGAATAAATGTTATGCCCCTTACCATAGCCGCCTGCGAGCTTCAGTGTAAATATTGTGTAAATATCAAATCAATT